TAGTCAACAAAAGGAGAAACTTTTACAATTAAACTTTAGACTCTTTTTGCTGATTTTTTTTTTGTGGTAAATGGTAATTTTGGTTGGATTTTAGGAACCAAATGGGGCTGGAATTTCATCCCTATGTAGGAACAAGAAGGGAAGTGTGTTATTTTATTATTTAAGGCTTTAAAAAAAAGAAATAAAAATGGTCTTCTTATTTTCAGTCAAGGGACTTAAAATAAGTGGAGGAAGACTTTATTTTAAAGGAAATAAAAGACAAGGCATTTTGGATGTTTAGGGATGGTTTGAGGTTTGGGTGGAGCCATCCAGGGGTATAACATACTCCCCTTCTTCAAAGAAAGTTTGTCCTCAAACTTTCGCACCACCGTGAAAAGATCAATAGTTCATATAAGAATTCCCGGATCAAAGGGAAAATTCAATGAACCACTAACAATGGGTTTCTTTCCTGAATCAGTAGGCACCTTCTTGTATAATTTCTGAGATGATATGGTTTCCTTGAATGGAACCTGCTTCATACATATCCCATTGACAACATAGGGGTGCTTCTCCATGATCAAGATATAGTACTCCGAAGAATCGTCTTTTGAGTATTTCACAAATCTCGGTTTTTCTTCCTTCGTACCTGTTTCAACAAAATGATCAAAAACAAAGGAAATGTCATAATCATCAGCGTTAGAAATGATGACATGATTAGGCAGCTCCAGTGCCTCTGAAATAGGTTCATCTGTGATGACTTCATCTTTATCTTCAACATGAGAGTTAAAGACAATTTTCTCAACAACGTTCACATCATCGGAGCTCTTCTCTTCCTCATCATGAGTTGGTTCTTCAGGCTGAACTTGGTCATTTATTGCTTCATTAAAGCATCCGATTTGACCTTTGTCTCTGGTCCATTCTTCATATGGGATGGCATACTTATTTGAACATTCCCAATGGCCATGACCACAGCCACCACACATGAAACATCGCCGAGTAGCCCATTGCAATATTGCTCCATTTGCAAGGATAATTTCCAGATTTCTGTGGTGTCTTTTAGAGACCATATCTCTTTGGAGACAAAAGAAGCAAGCTAGACAGAATTTGGGTTGGATTGCATTGTCAACTTTGGAATCAACGGAGACGTAGATAAAAGGTTAAACTTTCATACTGGAAAGTTTCACGTTGAAATAACTTTTGCACATTCCTCCGTGATCACTGTTTTGGGGCTGAAATTTTCAGGAGCAATTTCAGCAGTCTTGCTTATGTGCAACGTGGGTGAAGCTGGTCCTCCGGTAATCGTCGAGACTTGAGAAAGTCTTCGAAGTTGAGCTCTGATACCAAATGTTATACCCGAGACCCGGGGTATAATCAAGTTGCTATTTGAAGATGGAATTATGGAATGGTGAAGAGGAAATGAGGGGGACGAAATATGGGGGTGGAACAAAGAGTTGTTTTTTTGGGTTTTTGATGAAAGAAAAGAATAAGTTCAAGAAGAAGAAATGGTGAGAAATGAAATTGGCAGAGGTAAAGTGAAGGGATAAACCAAGTTGGTGTTAAGAGATATGACACACTCTTATCTTAACTTGGGGCTTTTATCTTCTTTTACACATTAATAATCACTACTAATGTATAAAATTAGACTCCTAACACGCACTCAAAAGTAGCCAACTTTAGAGATATTTCATTAGGAAATTTGGTTAAAATAGCATCGCACTATTTTAAAGAATTACTCAAAGAGTAAAACAAAGAAGTTTTTATTCAATCCATGGCTCTCTTACAATGGCCATATGGCTGTGTATATATAGGCCACAATGGAGGGGAAGTACAACAACAAATAAAGAAAAATACAATAAAGGAAACTTCCTACTTCTTTCCTAAAAATCAAAGATTAATGTCCATCCATGTGAGCTGATTTTCCAAGATGCTTCTCCCGATTTTGGGCTGATCTTCCTTGGGTTTATTTAGGGAGAAATTTCGTGCATATAAGGAAGAAAACAAAGGGAA